AGAAAACAGTATCAGAGTATAGGACATCCCCCTGGACACAAAATTCATAGAGGTACAACAGACCTTTGCCAAATTTGGAGAGATCACCAACATCAACATATCTACATAGCAAATGTGGTAATCAGTAGTCATCACCTATGCAGACAAACTGATAAAAGAAGATCTAGTTGCCAAATGGAGTATTCTTTTATGCTCAGACTCAGTCAGAATTTTTGATGCACAATGGGACATGGACCAAATGAAAGCACGTAGAAATATTGCAGTCAAATTAACAAACCTATCCCCAACACTACAGCTTTCGATCTCAGACTTACCTGTGAACAAACTAGGACCAAGACATGTTACATTCCCAGGCACATATCATATAGGCGCAAGTGGTTTGCAATCATTGGTTTCATGAATCAAGAAGACTTGGAAGCAGCAACAACACATAACGTTCTCCTTGGAGAAACCCAAGCAAATGGAAACCAATCGATACAAAACTCTGTACTATTTGTGGAAATGCAACACACTTAATCACTCAATATCCAATTAAAGAAAGAAGGACACACTGGAATCAGTATAATGCAGAACAAGCGAACAGATTCGGTAAACTATACAACAGGTTCAGGCTAGCACGTACTAAAACTATAAGGCGAAGAATAACCACACACAACAATCAAAGGAAGGCCAGGTCAGACTCTTACGCAGCAGTAGCAAGACTATTCAAAGAAGATGCAATACAGCACTAACCCCCTCAATCAACTATGGCAGAAGTACTACACATTCTCAAAACAATCAAGTGAGAGATACAAGAAATCAAAGAAGATATAGCAGACTTAGAGGAACACACAGTTAATCTAGAACCATATGATGAAGATTACATCAAACAAATGGATGAAGATACCTTCCTTTTGAATACAGAAGTAGTCTCAGTAACAGATACACCACTCCAAAACAGTACTCAAGACATACGTATCCAACAACAGCGTATTCAGTTATTCATGCAAAAACTCGACAAACACATGGATCAAATGTACAACACCGTACTCAACTCCATCTCAGGCAGCACACCCTCCC